AGTACCCGCGACTGGTACGACCAGCTGCAGAGCTTCCGCCTGTCACGACAGAGGTCGCTCATCACATAGTCACGCGTGGTCAGCCAGTTAGCGCACGATCAAGACAGCTTGCTCCTGACAAACTACGTGCAGCACGAGCTGAATTCGACCACATGCTTCAGCTCGGTATCGTTAAACCGTCCAACAGCCCATGAGCGTCGCCTCTGCACATGGTCCCGAAGAAGGTCATGGGGGACTGGCGTCCTTGCGGCGACTATCGAACCTTGAATACGGTTACCACACCTGATCGCTACCCGATCCCATACATAGTGGATCTCACCGCCAGTCTAACGGGTAAAAATATCTTCAGCAAAATCGACTTGGTACGCGCATACAACCAAATTCCGGTAGCCGAAGCGGACATCGCTAAAAAGGCCGTGACGACTCTATTTGGTTTGTTCGAGTTTCTGCGCATGCCATTTGGTCTAAAGAATGCCGCGCAAACTTTTCAGCGCTTCATCGACCAAGTTTGTCGCGGTTTAGACTTCGCTTACGCTTATCTCGATGACATTTTAATCGCGAGCTCTTCACGAGAAGAGCACATGCGCCACTTACGAACACTTTTTGACCGATTATCTCAAGACGGGGTGACGATCAACGCAACAAAGTGTTCGTTTGGTGTCGACTCAGTAAACTTCCTTGGCCATCGTATCTCCTCTGCAGGCGTCGTGCCACTGCAGGATAAAATTCAAGCCATCATCGACTATCCCGAGCCTCATTCTTTCAAACACCTCAGGCGTTTGGATGGGCTTGTCAAATAGTACCGACGGTTCATACCCAACTGCGCCTCGCTGATGCAACTCCTCACGGACCTTCTCCTAGGGAAGATCAGGAAATTCGAATTTCCTGCCGCAGCAAGCGCTGCTTTTAAGTCGCTGAAAGAGGCTATCGCCAGCATAGCTTCTATAGCGCATCACGATCCGGCCGCCCCACTGACCCTCAGTACTGACGCCTCGGACGTGGCAGTCGGCGCTGTTTTGCAGCAACGAGTATCCGACACGTGGCAGCTCTTAGCGTTTTTCTCCAAACGCCTACAACCTACCGAATCTCGCTACAGCACGTTCGGTAGAGAACTACTAGCGGTGTATCCAGCGATACGTCACTTTCGACACATCTTAGAAGGCCGCTCCTTTCCTGTCTTCACCACCCACAAACCCCTGACTTACGTGCTCGACCCGACTACCGACCGATACTCTCCTAGAGAGTCGCGCCACCTTGACTATATCGCTCAGTTTACGACCGATATACGGCATGTCTCAGATGTGCACAACGCCGTCGCCGATGCACTTTCCCGCATCCAAGCTATCTCCGCTGACGCTGGCACTGCTATCGACTTGGCAGCCATGGCCACAGCGCAACTCAACGACTTTGAGATTGATCTACTACGCAGGTCTCCCTCATTGGAAATATTACCCGTTCCGCTGACATCACCAGACGGCACTATACTCTGCGATTTATCTCTGAGCATGTCCCGCCCAGTCGTCCCATGCAAGTTTCTGCAGACCGTGTTAGACACGTTGCACAGCTTGTCTCATCCAGGCGTTGCTGCACCGGTTAAACTCGTAATCGCACGATTCGTTTGGCGCAATGTTAATCGGGACGTCCGTACTTGGGCAGCTGCTTGCGTTCCGTGTCAATGCGCGAAGGTGCACAATCACACGAGAAGCCCTTTAGGCACCTTTCCCACGTCAGACGCACGTTTTCATCACGTGCACGTCGACCTCTTAGGTCTTCTGCCGTCTTCGAAAGGCTCTGTGTATTTACTGACCTGTGTCGATCGGTTCACTAGGTGGCCAGAGGCTATTCCCATACCTAGCTGCTCTTCGGAAACAGTAGCGAAAGCTTTTCTGGAGCGCTGGGTAGCTCAATAAGGCTATCCAGCCATCGTGATCATCGATGGAGGGTCACATTTCTCGTCAACATTTACCACGTTGCTTAAGGATTTACGCTGTCGCCACGTCCAGATGACGGCGTATCATCCGGCCGCTCACGGCATGGTGGAGCATTTTCACCGCCAGTTGAAGACAGCGCTACGTGCGCACGCAGATCCTTCATGGTCTGTCCTTCGTTCTCCTAGGCTTAAGAAACATGGTTAAAACCGAGTTCGACGCCACACCAGCGCAGTTAGTCTACGGTTGCACGCTACGTTTGCCCGGACAGCTGGTAGCACCAGCCCCATCTACTTCCATTTTTGACTACGGACGTTACAGTGGTCGATTGGCTCACCAGATGCGTGAGCTACGTCCACCCGCTCCTCGATCGCAGAAGACACCAGTGTACGTGCCCGAGAAGCTGTCTAAGTGTTCACACGTCCTTTGCGCAGACGGTGTTCGACAGTGTCTTCAGTCGCCGTACATGGGACCTTTCAAGGTTCTACATCGTGCAAGTAAGGCGTACACTATTGACCGCGGTGGTCGACACGAAGTCGTCACCATCGACCGTCTAAAACCCGCCTTTATGGAAGAAGACCCCTCGCCTACTTCGTCTAGTAGTGCTTCGTGCGACGTCACAACTCATCGCACCAGCTTACAGCATCCTAGTCCGGTTCATCCAGACCACGATCTCGGTCTACAAGCCGTTCCAGCATCTCCCGAATCTAGCCCGCCGCCTCCCACGACCAATCGCCGTGGTCGGCAGGTGCGTAAGCCCGTTCGTTTTTCCGACTATGTACAGTGTAAATACTTTTAGCTTTGTAGCTATTGTATATATTTGCCCCACTTTTGATCGAATAACGTTTCGAAAACAAACAAACAAAATCCAAAAACTCCGAAAATCCTTTTTCTAAAAATATACAAAAAAACAAACAAATTAAATACGCAGCTTATTCGTTCGTTCTTTTTGGCGTTTTCTGCGCGGGTTTTTCTATTTTCTCGTCTCTACATGCCCCGACCCTCCCCTTCGATCGACTGGCCCACTCGAGGAATGTTTTCGAGGACTGACGCGAACGCTGGTCGCTTCTCCGCTGGACGAGTGTTGCTTCTTCGCGGGACGATGGTCGTTTCTCCGTGGGACGACGATCTTTTTGGCGCGGGGCGGGATGCGGCGGGGGAAGAGACCACTCCCAAGTGCACTGTTTGGCAGCAGAAGAGATTGAGGTCCTGTCGGCCTTTTTCTGGCCTAGCCAGTTTCTTGTAGTCCGACAAGTCCGCTCCAACGGCTCACCGAAATGCACTCTGCCCTGCAATCAATAAATAACAAATCACAAACGGTACAGCGGACTCCGACTTCCGGTGAACTCCCATTTGATAAGAACGCTCGCTCATTTTTACTCCGCAAAATTTCGCCTTACGAACCTCGCTTCAACAGACATTTTCGAAACCGAAGGCTTTCTATGTTCAGCATTCTAGGGGGGAGCTCTGTAGCACATAAAAGAAACTGCTGTCTTTCATGTACAATTTACTTGTTGACAGATTGTACATTATTCCTTCTTGCTTTAATCTTGCTTACAACCGGCTCGACACTCAATCGCCTTGTAAGTTCCCACGCTCACGTGTTCGCTCTTGTCTCGCTTTATCCGTCCTCGTCTTCTCGTAGCCCATCGAATACAGTCCGCTGTGTCCGACTCCAATTGCCTTCTGATTTCCGCGCTTAATTTCGCGTACCGTCTTGGACTAGTATTAACTAGTCCTACACATCTCTGGCCTAAACACGACCTTACTGCTTTTGAAAGACCTCAACGGAGGACGAGGAAAACGTTAGAGGATTACCCCGCCTCCCTTATCTGTTTAGTCTAAAGACTCTAGAAGATTTTAGTGAACAATATTGTCTTCTGCGAGGGGATCTCATATTGGTATGCCACATCCACCCAAGGTGACCTTTACTGGAACTCGGCCAAAACACATCAATAAGAAGCCACCATTTGAAATTGGCGACACAGTATAGCTGGTTGAAAGTCCACTGGAACTTTTCTCCATTTCTATATTACAGCCGCGTAAATTAATTTCGCATTTTGTCATCTTCAATCCTGCGTTAGCTAAATTCAAATGTCAAACTGGTGGAGATTACACCATCTGCATTACATGATTTAGCCCAAATTACTGGGACACGGGAAAATCTAGTCAAACTATGTGTAAGCTTGAAGTCTGCGGTAAGTTTCCTGCTTTGCGTTTTATATATTTATTCTTGATACATCAATTTTTGACCTAATTACCTCGAGAAAACTTAAGTAGTTACTTATACAACTGTGACAACGTCCGTGTTCCACTGTACCGGGGACGTATGAACAGTTGTCACAGATATCTTAGTGAAAGTAATGCTTGAACTAATCACAGTTAGTGAGAACTTTGTGACAAATTCACAACTGCATCTATTTCCAACACGTTTTTAATGTACTTCACTGTGTTGTCAGTGAGCTGCAGCAGTACAGGAGAGTGCACAGTTCCAACAGTGGTGATATTTTGAGAAGTCCCATAGCGACTACTCCCAGTCAGGAAAGTACAGCGCAGTTTTCATCCGCCGAATGCCAAGGGTTTCAAATCTGATACTTCCGTCCTCTCTTATCCCTTGTTGGCGAATTGGCAGTCGTGGCTGAGTGCCTACAGCGATATGGAGCTACCCATGGCATCGGAGAGTAGGTCGCACGACTCCAGATACTGAGACGAACAGTTATATACAAACGACAAAATTGCTAAGACCTTTTGAAGCTAGTAAAAGTGATGCTCGGAAATTTCATGCAATCGTACTTTACCTAGCGCACGCGCGCATTGCTCCGTAACACAAATGAGCCAATTCCTTCGAATGTGTGATAGTTGTCCATGGTGATGCAGGGCCGCATAAAATAAAAAGATAGAATTCAACCATTTCACACCGCTCTGGCCCCCTGACGGCGCGAAGTGAGCGAAACGGCCCATGTACGTGTTTTACCATGCAAAAAACAACCAGCGCGCCTTGAAACTCGGTGGGAGCTGTAACTGTTTTTAGTCGATGAACTGCGTCCATCTTGGCCCTGTGGAAGTGGCAAAAAAGGTGAGCAGTGTGTTACACACTGAATTGATTTATTGGCGAGCATTTTAACCTTTAAAAAGCTCACGAGCAGAATTTAGCTGGTGACACTGCGCTCAACAGATGATTTAAGCCATCCTCGACTGCAGTGCGTGGTTGCACGAAATGTATCCGGTCAACCTGGCTGTGTTGCTGTGCACTGTGATATGTGAGTTCGGAGATTAGTTTGTGACCAGCGAATGCATCAAATGATGTCCTTAATGTATACAGAATTTCTGTATAAGGATCCCGTTTACTTTTAACTTCTGCAACTGTACACATACTGTGTTTCTTATGAGTTTGCTGATAACACTTGAAATGTGACTTTAAAGAGTTGCGGCAGTGTCGTTTCCATGCACGTGCGGTCTTCTGCAGTGTGGGTGCACAAGTTTCGTAGCATAAAAGGCTTCTTTTAATGTAAACGCTCATGTTGAGGGCTGATTGGAAACCGAACTGATACTTTTAAAACCTTGTTTCCTTTCATCAAAGTTGCAGAATCCTCTCTTCTAAGTGGTCTAATGTCTACCTGTTTGTTTTGTTCTTACACTTGTCAGTCAGCAGAATTATCACAGGCTTTGAGATGTCACCAAATTCACTTATAAAGATTAACTATTAACGCGCCCACAGCCCTTTCGTATATTACTGGATGGATGACATCATTCTTCGGCGTACACAGGCCCGTTCTCCGAGGGTATGTTGGCTCGACTCGGTTTTAAAGTGATGCCACCGTTTGAATTTAACAGAATTTACTGGATATGTAAATAAACGCTATGAGTGCGCTAGACACGGATCGCGCATATCGCTGTTCATTTACTTGCTTTCGATAATATGATCACGCAGGATTTCATTTCTTTCGTCTTATACCGGTTGATAGGACGAGGCACTCTCCCATGAACTCGGACCCTCAGGGCTTCCAAACAGACATGATTCGCAAGGTATTCTTGTGGTATGACCGTGCACATCATAGTCTCTATATGATGAGGATTAACAAACAGGCTGCCAGTACATGATGTCGGTGGAATGGATGGAAATCACCTGTAATTTTCTCTGTGGAGGAACAGAATGTCCTTGTCACCTTGTCAGTGTGCACGGTCTACAGTAAAAACTACTCTTCATCGTTTATCCTAACATGCACCGTACAACAGAGTCGATAGTCTTATCTCGTTTAAGGGTTCGGATGATTCAGTGTCAAACTAGTCTTTTGCAAAAGTAACTGAATTTCAGAAACTCCTCGCTTCTATTCATCTTCAGATCATACTTGTTTTGCAGCCTATATATCAGGGGCGAAGATATCAAAACGCATCATCGGTGGCTACAACGCCAAAGAGGGTCACTATCCGTGGGCAGTGTCGATCAAAGGAGTTCATCCGAAATCTCGAAGCATTACGTTCTGTGGCTCCACAATAGTGACAGATCAATGGCTTCTATCCGCAGCCCATTGTTTCTGGACTGATCCTAAACAAAAAACTCAGTAAGTTGGTTCGTGAAACCTTGGTCAGTGATCTGTGATATCCTATGTTATAACTGACTGGAGCTGCGCGTGATAAATGTCGGGTAAGATAAACGTATTAGAGCCTCGGGAACAATTGTCAACTTATTTATATCTGTTATTTTCGGCTCATGTTTACAACTAGGAAATAAGTGTTTCATATGGTACGTTCAAGCGAAGCCTCACCGAGGTTTCCCTACACTAAGCTACTGGCTACAGGCTACTCAACAACGCACTGATGATGTCAACTCGATTTTTAACGAAACGTTTGAAACCAAATTGCCAAGCTCAACGAACAGTACAACTGCCAATTTCACAATAGTCAAAATTTCGTCTTATTTGCATGTTACTTGATACCAACAGTGCGATTGGCTGCGGAACAGTATCCGTAGTTTTTTATCGGAGCACTGGACCCTGCTTGCATCTGGCTGTTGCTGTTGTCTTAAGCACCTTTATTCCCTAAACTGGTGCGGAATTATGTACGCACTATTACTATATTGATGGGGTTGATTTGAACTAAGTATCTGACCTACATCATATAGCCGTGCGATGAGATCCAAGCACAAAACCAATAAGGCAACAGATTTCATAATGATGGACATTTGTCCAAGTGGGTTTAGCATGGGAATATTTGACGTTCACTTCAAGTTTCGTGCTCATGCTATCCGAAAGGCATATTTTGCCCACATCTCGTCAATCTGACGTGAAGTCAACCTTTAGAATTTTATTGCTGTATTATCTTGTCTTTTGTATTTATTCAGCTGAATATACCACAATATACCACAAGAAGGCAACATGTTAAGGAATTTCGGGCAATATTGCAAGTAATTGGACATCTCCACACTTGTCGCTGTTATTGTTACTTAGAGAAGAGGGGCACTATATGATAAAAAAATTTTTTTACAGAACTAGAGCAACCACGATGGCATTTGTTTTGCAATGTATTGTAATATGAGAGTGTTACACTTCCTAGTGGTTTTCTAATAATTTAAAGCCTTCAGACCAGATGTGTTGGTCGCCATGTTTAGACCAGTTTAGGTCACCTTATTTCATTTCATCATAAGTGTGAATGCGTTGATCTCCGAGGTAGGTTTCTGGGGTCCAGACAGGTGGAGAAAATTGGTGTTAACTCAGGACCATAAGGAAGATGAGCTGCAGTCTAGGAAGCATTACTCTTACTTTGCTGGGTCTGATTAGTTCTGTCTGGACCCGCCTCCCTTACAGGCTCACCAAAATGTCGCTGTCACTAGTTGGGACTCAAACGGAGCAGAAAACATCTGAAAATTTTTCTTTAAACCGCTGCTAGGAGTAAGCGCAAATTTCACACACTTTACCTACACTCTCCTCGGTAACCTTGCTGTCTACCGTCTCAAGCCGAATTGACATCAACAGATCTCCACTCAAAACACTGCCACTACGCGACAATTCAAGTACCATACTGGCATTCAATTTTCTGCAAAGTTTATGCCGTTCACTTCTATGCCATTGAGATTCAAGTATGAATGCGTAAATAGTCGGTTGGCATTTGAATGAGTAATGAAACGAACTCTTACCATCCGCCAGACTTTTGTCTGGGTCTCGGTGTAGCCGCGCGAGGATACGCTTTTCGTCTCTGCTTTTAGTTCACGTGTACACTTCTGAAGGTGAAGTCACTTAGGACGCAACTATCCGGAGGGATTTGGCATGGAGTGATCACCAGGACTGCTCGAATGCCGAGACCTGGACTACATACACGACACATCGTAACTGCTGTGTGAAACTGATCCGCGAAGATAAGGTCACGCATCAGCAGGAGTTAATGAAGCGATTCTGCACGAACCTCAAACTTCTGTACAGGCACGTTGACGGCTTTGGAATGGTGAAGCGGGGGATTCCAGAACTAGTCACGGCTGATGGACGCACGCGATCAGCAATGGAAGCAGCTTATATCCTACGGGTTCATTACTCCCAAAGTTGCCAGCAGGTAACGAGCCCAAATTTTCTCCTCGTTTCTATTACTCCACCGTCGGGTTTAGACATAACCTTCACTGTGGAAGCTGTGTTGAAGAAGTTGTTATTCTTGCGTATTCACAGTTCTTCTGAAGTTAACAACATCAGACCAAAGTCTGTGCAGGTGGTAGCTAGTGATCTAGCAGAACCACTGGCTGTTTTCCATCAGCGACGTCTAGAAGAGAACCATATGCCACCAGTATGGAAGCGAGGAGTCATCACTCCTATCCGTAAAGGAAGTAGTCGCACTGACCCTACCGACTACCGTCCAATAAACTACTTCCTGTACTATCCAAAGTGATGGAATCAAGCATCGCAGATGCACTGATACAATATCTGGAAAGCGACAATTTAGTAATCCCAGAGTAACATGGCTTTCTTCAAAAACATTCATGTAATACTTGCATGTAACTGCTGGTCTGAAGCTGTTGATGATGGAGCAGAAGTCGATGTCATTTACCTGGACTTTTTAAAAGCGTTTGATCGCTTAGACCATCGAATTCTCCTTCAGAAGCTTCGGAACTACGGCATTCGCGACCCAGTCCTGAGTTGGATTAGCAATTTTCTACAAGAACGACGGCTAGAGGTGAGGTCCGAGAATTGTTGTCCGATGCAATCGATGTGGTGTGTGGTGTACCACTAGGCTTGAACCTCGTCTATTCTTGGTGTTCATTAACGATTGGGCGAGATCAATTGCTTCCGATTTCCTAAGTTTCGCTGATGTTATCAAGATATGGCGAAGGATCAGCGAACCGGACGACCACGAACGGCTCCAGTGCGATCTTAACATAGTGTCGAACTGGTCAGTTCAAACCGCCATACCATTCAATGTAGATAAATGTCGCGTTGTACAATTACGCCATAGACATAACTACACGTATTTGTTTGGGACAAACCGATTGCAGATCAGCTCCCAAGAACCTGACCTTGGTGTGCTCGTACAGGGCGACCTCAACTGTTAAAAACAGGCAGGGGTAGCTGCACGTCGGCATGCTGCGAAGGGTATTCGGGAGATTTGACGCATCAATCTTCCCACTGATGCACAATTAATACGTGCGCCCGCATCTTGATTACGCTATCCAAGCTTGGCAACCTTGGTTGAAGCGCGACATAGAGGCGATAGAGGCACCACAACGAAGAGCAACAAAGAATGTAAAGGGCCTGCGCTGTCACTTTTACCACCGAAGGCTGAAGTTGATGGGTTTTTAGCGGACGCTATCGAAGGCTCCGCAGCGATCTTATATTAACGTATCAGATATTGAGTGACCCCAACCACGCATGCCGCCATTTGCTGAAACTTAGCCACAACAAGCAGCTCAGGGGTAACTGCTTAAATTTGAAGGAGTGATATAGCCGTCTAATTTCGACGGAATTACTTTTCTCTTCGGGTTTGCGAACCTTTGAACGCACTCCAAGACTCAGTTGTCTACTCCCCTACCCTGCATGTTTTTAGAAACGAGTAGCTGTTGCTCTTAGCTCCCAGCATTTTGTTACCTAAACTCATCTATTGTGGATTACGCCAAGCATGCTTTTCTACAGGAGTTATGTATCAAATGGAACCAAGTGAACGACCATATTTTACTTCTTTCACGCCTTATATCAAAGATCACTGCACCCCAGTGTATTTCTGAACTTTTTTAATTTTACACTGATGTACTTTATCAAAGTATTCATCTAGGCAGACGTTCGGTGGATGATCCAGATATATTTTGATTTCATCGTATTCACCCCAACCATCCTACTGGAAGTGTCAAGCGTCTGCTTTTATCCCGTGATAAATCCTTGTTCATTGTTCATTGTACTCTATGTTTAGGGTACCACCAGTAAATATTATTCCGCTAGTCTCCACTAGAAAATCCAAAACAACCAGAACGTTTATAACGTTTTCCATATCAAAGCTCCCATTCAATTTAGTGCGTAGTTTTACTCCTCTCCATCGGTCAAATGTGGGATGTCCTTTTGAAATCCGTGTGGTACTCGCTTTTCGAAACATTAAGTGCTCTGTAAATATTGTGTTTACTGTTCCCGGCAAAAGGTCAGGCAATCTAGTAATATTGATACGGGTTATTCGAGGTCGCAATGGTTTCGTCTCAAGTTTTACTTGTGGAGCGCACTTAGTGAACTACCATAGTTACAGCACGCAGTCTGTAAATCAAGCTACAACGCAGAATACACCTCGGCAGTTCATTGGTTTTTCAACAGATAAGGCACGTGGCCATTTTCGAAATGCTAATTGACGCTCCTGTAAGCAGATATCAGTTGGGCTGGTGTAACGTAAATACCTTGATAGTAAAGTAACTCGCTTTAGTGTGTTAGTTCCAACAGTAAATTTATTAACTGATACCTCTAACCGGTCTTCTCGAATGCATTCCAAAGTGTTATCTGATATATGCCAAAATATATTCTGCATTTCTTCTCAATGGGAATTGCAGATAACTATGTAAAGGGGCAAGTTAATTAGGAAACCAGCTAACTTTGGTATTATATTCAAATGACACTACATGAAAAATATGTTTCGTATCTTTCTAGCCTGATGGATCCAGCCAACTGGCAAGCACAAGCGGGAAACACGCAGATTGAAGTGAGTTTTCAACTGATTTGATAAAAAATGATGGATTGAAGCGTAAAACACAAAACTGAGCCGATAAATGATGGTCTAGTTTAGCGTGATTCTTAAGCAACCACCAGACTAGTCTCAAAACTAACACCAACGGTGTTGTTACCTTCGGATTTAGCAGTGTCGCTGATCTGCTTTGTGGGCACTGAGAGCAAGATGAAGACTTAATAAAGGTATACGGTTAACCCAGACACTAAAAAACCAAAATGCTTTAAATGTACTGGGCTAACGAAGTTTTGGTTAATATTTTGTCCTGGGCATAATAGCCACGTCCTGTCAGTTTGAGTATTATGTTGGGCTGGAGTTTTACGCGTGTTGATGGGAGGGCAGCCAAGAACGCAGAGCTACAAGTCTGTCTATTGCGGTAGCTAGGATATTTTGGTTACATGGATAAAGATTTAGCACGCTTAACGATTACCATCTGGTGTCATTGAGATAACACGCTAAGTGAAAGTTTATCAAGTCAAAGGGTAGTGAAATCCCGATCAAGAGTACATCGGTGTGTAACATATGGCCCTTTTGTCACGCCGAGCCAAACGTTACATGTTAGTGTCAGATTCTACTGCGCTGCTAAAAGTGTAGGTAAGGTTATAGATCATCTCAAAGTCGGGTAGATACTCATCAGTCAACAGGCCAGTCAACATCGTCAGTTCAGTGACGACTTTTATGGTGAAGTGGAAAAGCGTTTATCCGTTGCAGCGATAAGCGAAATTATGCAGGCGAGTCTGTGACTTTGGATAATTACTAGAACTAGGGATGAGGTCAGCTTCTGCCCAACATAACATGGTGTTCTGTACGAAGCCACGGATGTCGCGCTGTGTCACAACTGATGGAAAGAGAAATACATGTTTGGTTCATTTGTCTTTCAAATCAATTTTCCACTGTGGCTACGTAAGGCCACATGACTCTTGCATAAATAGATGAACCATAGGCTGCTTGCATTTCCACCTCCCAGAACTTCAACAATACAATACATATTCCGTGCGGTTCAGAGGAGTAAGAAGCCGGGATGCACACAGCCTGCAAAAAACTGACGAATGAAAACACGTGTTCCAGCTGTACATGGAGAAGTCATTAAGCTCTCACCTACTTCCATCTTCGGATCACCCTTAGAGTTAGGCACCATCAAGAAACTCTTCAGCAAGGAATAGCACCGTCCCGGAGTTGACAAATGAAGTGACGGCGTGGGATAGTTAAGTGCACCGTTAATCCTTTTATGGGGCATTGACAAACCTGGTGTGTCACGCGTTAATAAATGTGTTTTACGTTAACGAAAGCTCACCGCTGCACCTATGGTCACACGTTTACCACGATGCAGCATCAAAATCCATGCTGATGTGATTTAATTAGTTGAGTCAGAATCAGAGGCTTTAGTTGCACTGATGTTTATTCTTTAAACATGCTAGTTGCAAATGGAGATTGGCTATTTGTGACAACGATTTGGTGATTTGCCAGACCCACTCGGTGGATGCATATACGACGGTATACACTCTATGACATAATAAATAAGACGGTTGGCTAGTGATCCACTGCAGTTGACGCTTGCTTATCGGTCTCTCTAATTCTTTATGAGCTTGTGTTCACACTGGCTACAATAATCTTGACGCGACCACGCCATCATTGATAATGGACTCCTTGAAAACATATAAACACATGAAAACCATAAAATTCTCTTGGTCAACTCTTTGACTTCCTGAAAGCAGTTGACCATACAGGACGTATTTCGATAGAATGGACATGTTCATTGGGCGGACGTCGCTATTCTACATAAGGTGTCGTGGAAACAAAATCCGGCAATTTCCGTATTTGTCAATTCTTGGATCATTTCGGCACCAATTATTCTACACTAGCACAGATGTGGTGCCTCACTACAAACATCGTTGATAAAACCATTACAAATGGCTGATTCTTTGCTTGTATAGTGCCCATATTTCGTCCTTTTGGATGATGACCAAAACCGCGATTGCTTTATATCCAGTGACAACAGACATCAACGTTAGGACATATTTGGCCAACTTCTTCATTTCACTGTAAGTTGAACTCGCATCTGATTCATGGAGCAGAGCTCATTGAATGTCAGCATGTATGGTGGCAGCGTACTCCCGCGTTGCGTAACCCATCGCCATAAATGCGGATTTGCAAAAATCACAGTAACCACTGGGATGACAAAAGTAAAGAGAGTACAATCTTGCTTGAGTTTACTATGAGTTCGAACCTGAGCTCCGGCCAAGTAAACGCCGTCCTCACATGTTACAGTTCGTTTTCGCCCAGTGCAAGTAGCTGGGCTCGTCACCCTGAAACAACTGATAACCGACAACTCCCCATCTATGTAGTGCCTTAAATTGACATCCTGCTCAAGCGCACTCCTTAGACGGGATGAGATGGCAGTTTATATAAAGTGAAAATCGCAGGTTGTATGATGCAGTTTGCATTGTACAGAAGATACTCTATTCATTTGACATCCAACCACACAACGTCATCTTGGACTCAATAGCACGGCGCAAAAATCTAACTAGCAAATGGAACAATGAAACAATGGATTTATACGGGTGAAAAAGCTAATGCATAACTGGTACCTATGATGGTTATGGTGAAACTGAAAAAAAAATAAAAAACAGATAGCAAAATTGGGTTCATGTCAGTAAACTGACTGAAGTATATGTGTATAGGCTGCAAGTCCAAGGTAAATCAACAAGAAGGGAAGAAAAATGGGATGTTGATAAAAATCGTGTCTCGGATCGGGTGGGAGTGTTGATGTGGACATACAGCGGATAACTGGAGACAAACGCTTGTAGATCGACCTTAAACTGTTCTCCTGGAGTTGCTTGGGATTCCAGAGCGGGCATGTTGAAATCGCTAGTAATGAGGATGTGACTGTAAGGCGTGTTTATCACCCTCCTTAATACGGATGCCAGATGGGAGTCCATCTCCGGCGTGGACGAAGGAGGGCGATAATTAGCCGCCCCTAAGCAAGTGTCGTTGCCTTCTAAACGTAGATGGCACCAAAGTGAATCTTGTACCGTGCTGACCGGATCCCCTATGAGCTCACATAGAAGGTCATCGTGGAGCCGCCACCTCCCACACCTTTGCTGAGTCGGTCTTGTCGAACAATGGACATGCCTGGCAGTACGATCTCCAGGTCACATATGTCAAGGCGTAACCATGTCTCCGTTATAGCGATGAGGTCGCAGAATTTTGATGCTTGACGCAGCCGCATTTCGGAAAGTTTACTCGGTAAGCCCTGTGGGTTGGTGTACATAGAGGAAAACTTCTCGGATCTCGAAAGCTGTTGATTAGGAGCGAGTGAATAATGTGGATTTGTGCCGATCGACGAGAGGCCGGTCAATCGTCATTGGTATAGTGCGGATAAAGAAGGCGACGTTTGATATGTCACGCTGAATGATCTATTAGCGGTGAGCAGCGCAAAGGCAAAAATGGCAATGGGAAATAGTGAATAACTGCAAATTGCGAACTTGTCGATTACAGCGTTCCCGTCCGTTTTACGCAATATCCAAATTTATCGTCTGTGGTTTCCGGGCAAAAATGGAGATGGGTTGGTTTATTTTTGTTTTTCTGCTGTTTGTATGGGTAGTTTGGATACCGTGGTATGGCGTAGGATAACCAGTGCACTGTCGACACTTGATTTGAACACGGCTAGCTTATGGGCTGAAATAACAACTTCTACTTGTGGAAATATGCAGTCACAAGAAGTTTGTTCGACAATCCAATCAACTGTATTGTTCTGTCAATTTGAGCTGATGACGTCTCACTTGGCTCTTGTGACTCAGCTTCAATAGGTGATGGTAGGGGTGATGAGTGTGGATTGATAGTTGGTAAACCATGATTAGATCACCAAGCAAACGGCGATAACGTCCACTGAAAATGCCAAGCACACTAATGCGCTGTTCACATGGCAGGTGACGTCCGACGTTGCGGAAGCTCCAAGACCGTATTTTGTGTGAATTGCGAAATCACGATTGGAATGCGATCTGTTTTTGCTCACACTTGCACCTGCGGTATGTAGTCCTTCTGCAGCCGTTTTGATGTCTACGGGTCTTAGCGCACAGGTTTTTGAATCGCTGTTTTGGTTATGTGGTGGTGGTGTGTGGTGGTGTCGTTTACACGAGAACAGAGAGTGGCCGCGCCTCTCTAACTGCTGCCTTCAGTCGTAGTTTTGAAGGAAGTGTGTTGCGTAGTAACTGCCAGCTACGGGTTTAGTACACGGCTGTCTGTTGTGATTGCACCGGTAGTTTCAGTATCCATGGGCCACTGCCTCTTTAGTTTGGCGACATGGGTAACCGTGTAACTGGCTAAAGTATTATGTCGCCCGCACAGAGAACTTCACGGATGTAACACCATTATTTCGGGTCATGAATGTGGGTTTCTTCCTTGCTGGTTGTCGGTAGTTCTGGCACTCCATGAACGAAAATAATTCGTTCGCTACTCTCCATGTGGTGATCCTTTGAATTATTTTTATCCCGCTGGCGTTCGTTCCATGGAACATCCAGAAATATGCGTATTCCAATTTTCTTTAGTCCGCAGGCGGTATGCCGACAAAAGCACCGTTTGGACATCATCTATTTACCCTAATTTTAGTCGCGTTAACCGGGGTTCTTCACAATGTTTCGAGGTTGGATGTCTAGTGATACGCATTGTATTAGTCGAACTGACTTGAACTCCGATTTTATCAGCAAAGAAATTCCATTGCTTTAAATCGTCTAGCTGTTTACCCCTTAAGGAGTTTGCCTTGGACTCGGGAATTTTGATGCTTATAAAAGTCAAGCCCGCGTAGTTCCGCCTGGTCTTCGATGATGTGGGATGCACGGTTATCGAGGGATTTACTGACGTCTCTCCAGCTTGTACCTGGTCCTTCACTCGTTTTGTAGCTGTACTGGGTGAGGCTACTGAGGTCACAATTCGATTATACCGAGCAGCAACAGTTGCGTTGGTGGATCGCTCTTTAGAGCTCTTCGGATTTCGTTGGTCAATCGGAAGGGTGGGTGTTACCAATGTTGCACTGTTCGATACATTGGATAAGCGTATGTGGGCGGTGGGTCGAAGCATGCTTCTATCAGTCCCAGTGACGAGTTGGTTCGTGGTTCCCAAGGTTTCTAGTACTGCGTAGCCGGGTGAACGCCTGGCCGTTTTGTTTGGTTTTGAGGCAGCAATTGAGTAAGACTGACGAGGTACAAGACGCGCAATCGTCGCTTGGAGCGAAGCGAGTTTTACATCCAATCGATGTTCAGTTTCGGTGACTAGGCTGTCGTACTCTTGTGTTAACGCTAGTCCGCATATTTTCGTCGAACCGTCGTGCACTTCGAACAGATCAAAAGTGAACCCGGCGTACTGTATTTCTTTATGTTGGTCCTACAGATGTTGACGCATTTCGAATGGTACCGGTCTTGACAATTGGTACAAGTTAACTCTACTTTCACTAAGTTAGAACAAGTTTGCTTAGCACAAAATACTTTGTTTCGGGTTACCGGTGTGGTGATCATGATGGCTGGTTACCGCAGAATGAATCCAAGGTGGCGGACACAGACGACAATTGGGCCAATCAAAGAGAACACCGAAAGTTACCAGAGAACATTGACCAAACTTGCACAGATTGAAGAATGCACCAAGAGAAAAATGTTGGTTCCCAATTCACACAGAATATCAAGTATAACAGAGTAATCCCGAAGAAAACGTGGAATCCAACACGGTAATCCAAAAATCCGCGGCGTCTAATTACTAGGGTATCCGAGCCTATCCATAACCAGCCATGTCAGCCAACAGTTCACCGGAGCGAGTGCCTTAATGACATCCTTGAGCAACGAGCATGACGGGTACTACCTCTCCTGTTATTGATATCGTGAACATAATAGCAGCAGCACATTGGCTTACTCAGTAGCTGCTTAGTTCTTTGGTCAATTTTGCTCAGAAAGTAGGTAACGGGGCACTTCGGTTGGAATTGGCTACTTAGTTTCCCAACGCAGCTAAGGGATTTCCTGTTAGTATGTTGCTGGCTACCTTCACCACCCTAGATTAGTCGCAAAAGAGAATCCTGCAGTTCACATTGCACTTACGCAAACACCTAACCGATTTTCAGTAAACACTAAAGTGTGATTGTTATTGAAGGTCCACAGCCAGTCAATACCTTCGAAGACGTTTAATCGGCATCTTCGGATTCCTCGTTTAACGTTTGAGCAAGCAGTTCCCTTGCTTCACATGGGACTGGGGTAGTATCATCTCCGATGTTCACATCGTGTCGCAACAGTGAGTTCACTGTTCCTCAGTCAACAAATGAACTATTATTCGAAGACCACTAAAGTGCCTTCCGCTTATTTGTGTGTAGGCAGTGCTCAACAGTCCTCAATAGCAAGAATTTGTGCCAGTGCGCTGCTTTCAAGGAGTCATTTAAATACTTACGTTGATGTACTTAGGTGTTTTGTCTTTCATCTTTAGCTACCTGTGTTTCTATTTCCACAAAGCGCTTTTGCGGCGACGGAAGTCGATTCAGTTACGGAGCATACATCTTGTAAATATATTGTATAAACCAGTTAAAATCGCCGTAACTGCATCACTCTTCCCCAACACCACTGTCCTACTGACCACCTTTCCAGCCGATTGCACAGAGCTTTCTCACACTAGCTTCCATTGAAGCGGCAGCCATCTGTCATTCAGGTAGTGGTACAGAGCACTCGCGACATTAATAGGTCTGACAGCACCGATGTGTGCTGTCACTGCATTTCCCCGGCTATAGCAACGCTGAATCTGCTGGGTTTGGGATTAAATGTTGGTTAGCACTCAACCCAGATATCCTGATATCTGAATTGTCCGTCATAGACCGATATAGGATAACATTGATCACGTGCGTAAATCGGCGGTGCTGAGAGGATTTGGGCGCATTAGAGTTACGAAGGACGTTCACCTACCCATTGGCTCAATTAATACCACACAATCGCACAACCGGTACCTTCCTGGTGCAAAACACAATGCATAACTTTTCCGCATCCTGTATAATGCCGCATCACTGATGCCATTTCAGCTGTGTGTTACAGTGACCATCGAGGGGAGTCGAACTTGACATTAACGTGCGTCATTATACCGTACTTTTCAGACTTTAGAACAGCGATTTTAATAGGCCTTTCACCAGTTATGCGATTGAATCCAGTAAATGACAGACCGAATGCACCTGTCGAAACCGGGAGGTCCACTTTCATTCACGGACCATCATGTCGCACACGTGTAGGTTCCAGAGCGAACCAACCCGGCTATAGTTGGGCGTGTGTGAAAGCAATTTGACATATGGATCAGCTTCAGGTGAAGATCATCATCATCATCATCATACACGTTAGCTAGAGGTGGGGAACACCTCAGCTACTGTGCCGCAATACACAGAAAAAAGGAGAGAAAATAAAAGCAACTGGTGAAAGCTGGCTGAGCTAACGGTAACGGATGGGCATCGTTCCGGTAAGCTACCAGCCGGCTGCTGTGCACCCGAAAAAAATTATTATGCAAAATTATATAAGGCTAAATAATGAGATCGTGGTTGGAGGGGGAGGCTAAGAGGGATGGGGTGGGACAAAGAAACTCACAGCACGAACGCCACTGAGGTCGGCTCCTAGCCATATCAGCAAGTGTGTCTAACCAAACGTGTTCATCATCCTTCGGACCCCAACCAGGGAGCCGAGACGCTCCAACCGAGGCCAGCTCAGAAGTGAGGGCCTTCATTCCTCTGGACCAAGTCATCGCTTGGCCACCCCTCCTCTTCTTCCATCCACAACCCCGGTGAGCAAACAACACACGTCGCGGGAGTCAGTGGGCTGGCATGCGTAACACGTGGCCGAGACATCGGAGCCTGCTGCGTGAAATAACAGTGCTGAGCGGTTCATTTCCTTTTCCTGTGCCATAAACAAGGCGTCGAACACGCTCGTTGCTCACGCGGTGTTCCCACCAAATGTGAGCTAAATTACGAAGGCACCAGTGATCGAACGTAACTAGCCTCTTCAGGTCCGCTGCTTTAAGCGGCCAGGTTTCACAACCGTACAATAGGGTCGAACGTACTGCTGCATTGTACAATCTACCCTTCAGGGTGAGAGTGATGTCACGCCGGCGCCATAAGTGGCGAAGGTTAGCAAAAGCGCTTCGAGCTTTCGCTATACGATTCGTGATTTCATCTTCAATCCCACGGGCGCTGATAAACTTCCCATGTAGTTGAATTTTTGAACGACTTCTAGCTGATCCCCACCAAGGGTCAGCGTAGTAGGTGGTCCAGACCAATCTTGGAGGAACGCTTTGCACTTCGAGGGTGCGAAGCAAAGCCCGAAGTGACGGACAGCTAGTGCTAATCTGTCCAGTGCCGCTTGGCACGTTTGTGAGCTGTCACAGATCAGGGCAATATCATCAGCATACTCCAAATCAAGAAGTCGTTCTCCTGGGAGTAGCTCCACACCTTCTAAGTCGTGTCCTGTAAACGCGATTTCCATGACTTCGTCAACAGCGAACTTGAAGAGGATCAAGGGGATCAGGTGAAGATAAAAATATTTAAATGGCAAGTTCGACCTAAGGCTCAAACAGTAGTCGTTTCAGTGATGCGAAAAGAATTCTTATTTAAGCGCGCTTCTGAGCCAGTTGTTTGGTGGGTTTGCCTGTTCTGTTATCGGATAGGTGATCAAAAGTCCGAAGGTATCAAGTATGAAGATAATCAGTGGTGGAAATTAACGCGTGTAGAACCTGATTAGTTTTACTTTCATATCTATGTCTTGGATTTCTTGAATCTGCACACTGAATTTGACTAGGTTATTGTTGGAGCAAACAGCAATGGTCGGATATCTGTTTGTACAAAACTGATCATGCCTTCTTTGGTTTGCCTCCTATAACATCGAGAATATGCCTTTTGTGTTATTTTAAAGAGCTGAATTTGTAGGTTTATTCCAGAAAATGACGCCTTGTTATCTGTCAAGCTAGGATGCGATCTATGTTCGGTCAGCTTTGAGACACCATGGCGCAAGGAAATTTTCTCTCATGACCCCCAAATTCTTCACTCACTTCGACTAGACTGCAACGGTTAGTAGTTTTAATAAGCGCGCCGTTGGCTAATATACATGAAGCTAAATGGTTTGCTATAATTACTGTTATTGACAGCATTTTGATCGAAGGCAGAACGGCTGTTAATACCCTGAGTTGAAACAACCCCACGGGAGTATTCCAATGTTAACAAGTCATTTTTGTCAACGCAGCTGGGCACTGGCAATTACCTGTGATTTTCAGCACAGTCCCTTACTCTGGTTAACTCACCACTAGGCGCAATTTCTGAGGACGATTAAGTTGTGCGGATTCCTGGATCACAAACATTCGAATTTTTATGTACACCTAAGCAATTACTCTCTTTATTCACGAGCGAGGGGATTACTATAGGGCGAAGTTTAGATTCCTGTCAAAGTATAAAGCAATTAGCTGTTGAATGCAAGCCAACTAAGACCGGATGGTTCAGAAATCACAAACACATGCTCTGGATTTGTAGCAATTGGTTGCGTCGACGGTCGATTCTCGCCTTTCCGAAAACCGTAAAGCCTGTAGTAGTTGAGGAATAGGAGTGGACCCTACCTTTGGAACCGTGAATCGTCTCAACGCTCTCAACTGCTAAGGTTGTCAAAGACTATGTGGTAATAAGCCAACTCACCATGCTACCACCTGACTGCGTCTAGCGTGTGAAACATCACGTAGAAAAGTACATACACTAGTGCTCTAAACTACTTATTGTACAGTAAGAACATTGCAAGGTTCTCTATTTTAAATTGCCTCTTCTTTTTCTGACCTTTAGCTAGCGCCTGAGAAGCCTGGAGACTCGCTGGTTGGCAAACTGATGGACAACTCCCCGGTACATTCGTTCTCAGACTTTCTCGATGCACTTCTGGAATTTTTCAGAGGGTGAGTGGTTGGTAATGTGAAAATAGCGGAAGCTAAGCTCATTTATCGTGTGACTACTTTCAGTGCTGCTTATGGCTCTTTGAATTTGCTAATTGTTACACTCTCAGACGGTAACCGTAGATAAATTTTAGCCGTAAGTATTGCGAACAACATCAAAACAGTTAGTAGCACCGTGCCCTAAATTCTTAGTGATGAAGTAGCAGAATTTGTGTTGCATTCATTATTCTAACAATTGTTATCATAAGGCGACTACTGACCAACGTGTAGGCATCTTTGACTGTGCTCTCTTGTCTGCTGTAAATAAATAAATGATTGACATACTTCTCCTCTGTTCCAGACGAGGACCAACTACGTTATTTGATTAATATTTCCAGCATAATCGGATGGTTGAGATAGGTGTTGAACTTTTACAAAGTAATTCGCAGAGAAGCTTTCGCGGTGTTCAATTAAATAATAGTACTAAAAATGCGAAAACTAGAGCGTAGGAATAAATGCACATAGCCAGCAGTTCAGGCACACGAATATGGCCATCGGTGGAACCGTCTCCAGTTACACGAATGCTAGTCATCTTGAGCACTTCCTGATAATTAATTGATACACTAAACGAAAGAGGGATGGGAAGGCGGATTACTCATCTACTCACCAGTTGCTGATGAGGTAATTTGTTGTTTCTTTCAACGTCTTCCAGGAGAAATAGACTTACAACTGGGAATTCACACAGGAAGCCCTTGGAGTTTCATAACATTTTAGAGTAAATAAGGGTGCTGTTATTGTAACTGTTAGTATACTCCACTTATCTTGGAGATGTTGGTAGAATTCCATTGTGTTCAGAGATGTGTCCGCGTCGTTGCAGTCGATAGAAGTAACCAATACGGTGCACTCTATTTTTGTCCACATTAAATACGACCAGATAGGTGACATCACAATAGCGACCAGATCTTTATCTAAATCATCTGTTAGACATTTGGATCTAATGAACGATGGTTAAGAGAAAAAGTACCTGTTCACACCCTGGGTTTCAGGTAAGGTGAAACAACCGAGATGGGACGATAATTCAAAGGGCAAGGGAAAATTGCAGTTAAACTTTTGCTTCCCGAGTTGCCCCCGACTCAGTGGCATCGAAAAACGGCGAGATCTGTAACATCGGCCCGAACTCTCAACTTTGAGCATTATGCCAGACAACATGTATTGTATTTTTGTGGACACCCTATGACTCAGCCACACAAATCCACTCATACATAAACATCGTTGCCATACACTTTTGTCTCACTATTGTGTTATAAGTTATTAGGCACGAATGCTGCAGACATGGAGTACTTCGGTGTAAGATATTGCCATAACACACATCATATACCCTTTCTTACGCCTCATTGTTTTACATTAATGGGGGCAATGATTTTATTACTTTTCACTAGACTTCTACCGTTGATCTAGCAGTCAATAGTTTTATCGGTTCTACCACATTTCACCAGCTGATTTTGAGTAATGAAGCGTCTTCCGGTGACTCCATCTGTGTAATTCGCGTACTGGACCTTAGTGCACTTCGGAAAGATGAAGTGGAACTGACCCATAACTTGGGACAATGGTTTTAGTGGCACTTTCCTTATGCACTCAGGTAGGTTACACCAGGTCCGTCTGCCTTCACGGAGCACATTCACCAAGAGGGGAAGAGATCGACAGCAGACTTAGCTCAAAACTCACAAGTTGGGACGAACAGTTTACGAGTTTTAGTCTTGACTTGAATACTATGGAGTAGGCGCAACGCGACTTGTCTCTAGCGGTGGTCGGATACAAATACCGTGTCGGTCCATGCACCACCTGTGATTAGAATTTTGTAAACCCACTCGAAATCTCTTGCACTTTAGTTCTACTTTACACACAGTTTATTCGGAAACATTGGGAGCCTTGTTGACCAGTCTCATGTAACTCGTAAAGAGTCATCGTTGTTATATTCTCCTAAAATTTCATACCTCTCAGTGCCACATTGGCTACTTAGTAACCAAAAACTAGAGGAAGAAACCATAGTGGAATGTTCCTTCAAGTAAAAGCGCATGGAGCTGTGGGAGATGTGGGCAATTCAAGGATAGCATGAAAGCGTGAGTTTTACTTTGTGTTCCATGATTAGCGGGCCCAAAGTTGAAGTATTTTTGGCAACAATCTTAAGGAATCTATTGTTGAAACACTGTTAAGTGCTTACTTATCAGCCTATTGTTTTGGCTGGTTTCCATAGGGTGTCGACAGATGCTCTTGAGACATTTCAGTACTTGTTACTTAATGTGGATTTTCCTCCTAATCACTAATAACGTCCATTAACCATCCTTAGTTTCTTTAAAAGTTGCTGGTAAGGCAGATATTCCGATATGGCGCGTCTCGAGCGCTACGAGGCTACGTGCTATGCCAACGCTCAAAACCCGAGTAAGGTGTTCGACGTGAGTGCACATCAAGCATTTAGTATCAGGGAAAAGAGGGAGAAATCCTAAGTCACGCGTGCTATCCGCAAGGGACCAACATACCGCTTAGTCCTTTTTGAAGTGGACTGAGTTTGTCTGGAACGACGGAAATCTTCCTACATGAGGACACCGAAGTCTTGCTCCCAGAGGCATTCTGCAGCTCCAGCGCCTCACGCATCGGCGGTGAATGTGAAGGACTTGGCCCCTGTCTGCATTGAATGGCAGAGTGTTCCGCGCTGATCAATTTCAAGCTTCATCAATTTCGTGCGGTAGAACTTCGTGGTAGCTCCATACGTTGAGTACCCACCATGCTTAACTCTCGCTGAACTAACGAACCATAACTGTGCTGCACTCGATTAGCACTGGGTCGACCAAAGAGTTCCGGACTATAAATCGCAATTTCCATTTTAGGAGCATGTTGCCATTTTATCTCGAGGTTGGATCGGTAATACCGTAGTTCCGAAACTTGTAAAATGGGATTCGATATCCAAACAATAAACACCATTGAAAGGTTCCTGAAAAATGACCATGGTTCTTAACAGGTAGAAAAATGTTTCATTCCAGTCTTTGTGCGCGATTAACTGGTGCGTCGTACACGACTGATGCCATCCTTTGCCACACTGCATTGACGCGATGATGCCACATTTTGTCAGGTAGGCTGGTGATGTGCCCACGATGATTGGCTATATGGTTTTGGATGGCACAGAGAAGAGAGGAATATAGTTATCAGCAGGCTCAGATAGTCTTCTTTCCTTGTGGATAAATGGGATACAGCCTAGTTTCCATGTTTCCTAAACTCTGCTGTCGACTAAACAGGGCTGAAAGAATCCGAAAAGCCGTTCTGGTAACTGCATGGCTACTATCTGAGATACCCATGGGAGTTTAATTCTCTTTTAGATAACAGCGGGCTCTTGAAGATCCATCGTGTTCTTTAACACAGGTTCTATCGCGAAAGTGGTATTAAGTAAATCAGATGTTGCGGTACAACAAAGTATGTAAAAGAGTTGAGCCAGAAAGTAGGTCAGTAATGTACCACTAAGAAATTATCCGCCTACATCGACGTGTGTATACTCATACCACAAATCCAGAGGTAATTCATCACAGTCCATTCCCAGTCAGCAGGCCTTGGCACGTCTGGAAAAGCACCAGCCAGCGCTGTTTCGATCTTCTGGGTCTCGTCCGCGGTGCACGTTCTTCGGACCCATGCCGGGTACCGACCCAATGACTTCCGGACGCCAGCAGCTAGAGCCACTTAGCAATGAGTGACGGCCGCAGACCTGCATGATTGTCAGTTGACCATTATATAGCCCGGCTAACCTTCCCCTACAAATCCAGTTACGAACTGTGCAGATCTTCCGTGTGACCGCATCGATTTAGCGCTCTTTGTTACTATGCAGTTTCTACTCTTCTTCATCCGACAGCACATTCAGCTTACACACATTTGGGTCGCTCTAATTTGCTCTACACCCTGAGCCATGTTGCACAGAAGTATTTCATACGAATAACGGTTCGAGCAACGTTCACTATTTTGCTGCGTTCTTGTTCATACCCAAGCGACCGCAAACCTGTCGGACTTTGGATACTTAACCAACACTACTATTGTATTACTTATGAATGGAAGGATTTTGGTGAATATTTTTGTTCGTCGTTATCAGTTCGACGAACAAAAACTACTCACCAAAATCCTTCCATTCATAAGTAATACCAATTCGCCCTTACGGATTCCACAAAATGCTATATCCATTCATAGCTGCCGTAACCGGGAAGTCCTGACGTCGGAAGGCCGACCGCTGTCATCTGCATGGCAGCTGCCTGCATGGCAGTGGAGGATGCGTCGGGCTATATCGCATTTAGCTAACAATTCATGATAGTCGGATACCGTCCTCCATGGCGCAGTTGCATAAGCTGCGGGCTAGTTGGCAAGAACCACTAGCAGTCATGGGTTCGGTCCTCCGTAGAGGACCGAAGGATGCGCACCACTGATGAGCCCCAATAGGGCGAAACGGCCGTCTGGTGCTTTTCCGGACAGCTGGTCGACATACCTGAATTGTCGGCTGATTGCGACCAACAAAAATACTACTATTGTATTCGATAAAGCCGACAATAGCTGTGTACCTTGGTCTTAAGAGTGCGTTCGATTCAGTCGAGCGATGCATTCTGTTCTAAAAGTGTTCCCACGAAATATGTGAATATCCTACATGCTCTATACTCGAACACTACAGGTCGCGTCAGGGTCTACGGTGACTTGTCCGATACCTTTCCGACCAAAAGTGTAGTTCGTCAGAGTTGTCCGATTTTCCCATTTTTCTTCAGTTTCGTTGTGGACTCCATCATGGAGTGTTTCCCTACAAAATCTCATGATGTAGGCGTTGAGGTCCTGCCTAGTGAAACGTTAGTTAATCTTTATATGCCGACGAGATCGTTTTGCTTTTCGGCGATTTTGCAGTGGCACAACTAACCCCGAATAGCCTGTCTAGAGTGATCCCATTATTTGGTATGCGCTTTGCACCTTCAAAGTGCACAGTGTTCCTGCAGGACCAGCTGCCACTTAATG